TAAAAAGCAACAACGATGAGGGAATATGAATGTTTGTGTTTATTTCATTTTTGTGTTTAACACAAAAATATATATCATGCTGTAACAAGCAGGTAACTGTATCTGATCTATTCTGATTGGCTCTTGAAAATGTGCTGCATAATTCAATAGAAACAGCCTGTTTAGCCCAAGCAGAGTGGTGGAATCTTTGGAAGTACGGAGCTGCAGCTGTCTGTACTTTAACGTGTGAAAAGAGAAATGAAAATCACCAGTAATCCTGTATAACTTATTTATAAATGTAAAATGATACATTATGATTTTACAAATAATTTACTGCTTTCTGGGGGCCTGTCTGCATAGTTGGCCCACTAAAGCTCTGCTGAAGGCACTTATATTCTGAACGTGCTCAAACTACTACAGAAGCAGGATGAGTCTGCACAGTGTGTCTGCTCCCATACACAGAAACCTCACGCTCACAAGATAATGTGATGTTTCAGGCAGGGCCGTTTGTCTGGCTAGAGTGAGTGAAATTAGTCCATTGAGGTTTTGCCAAATACGCTGTTCAACCATGACATATTTTTACCTTTCCCTCTCACTGTGGGAGCAAAGCACATGGGGCAAGACACATAGACAGACTAAAGAAGTGCTGGTTGGTTTTACTCGATTAGTCATCCACATTTCAAGCAATCCAGTAACACTGCAGCCAGGACATTGGGCCAGACTATAGAAGTGTGTTTTGTTGATTGCGGTTGTGTCAGATATGCACGTAAATAACAAAAGGTGCTTTTATCGGCAAGTAATCAAGTTCATTTGCCAATTTCGATAATCAGAAAAATGCTGAATGTCAGCTTGGTTATCGGTTGGGCTGATAACCAGCCGATCCCTGGCTGAAATAGTGTTATTTTTTTTAAATGTGATGTGATGGTCCCTGTGACCCAGAAGGATAAAGTGTGTGTTTGTGTGTGTGTGTGTGTGTGTGTGTGTGTGTGTGTGTGTGTGTGTGTGTAATGTGATTGTGTTATTCTGTTGGCAAACATTCTTTCAGCGTGTCTTCAAAGTCAGTGCCTTTGTCTAGCTGTTATGATTGCTTCCAACACTTCAGTACAGAGGGACATTCTAATGTGTTTATAACTGCCTTTATAACACCCTTTTTAAGCCTTATCAAGCAGCTAGATGGTCATTACCTTGCTACTAATTACTACTTTATTAAGCAGTAGTCAGCTATGTTAATGGGAAGCAAATTAATGACCATCTATTGGCTTTATAAGGCTTAATAAGAGCATAATAATGGACACCTAGACTATTGTGCAAAAGACTATGATGTATAATACAGAAATAAAAGTGCTCAGGAAAATGCTAATTCACCTGCATTACTGCTTAATAAAGTAGTAATAAGCAGTCAGTTGATTAGTAATTATTGACTGGATAAGGCTTAATAAGAGCATTATGGAGCTCTGTAAAATGCTTAATTCACCATATGTATTGCTTAATAAAGCAGTAATTAGCAGCAGGTTAATTACTGGATTGTTAAGGCTTAATAAGAGAATCACAAGGGCATTTTAATGTCCCCATATACTAAAGTGTTACCAAGAAGATTCAGAATCTTCAACATGTATTCACTTGGACTGGGTGACACCAGTTTTGCATAAGTTTGTACTTACACTTACACTTAACTAACACTAGTTAGATCAAACTAATGGTTATCCATACAAAATCTGTTTGCATCTCAAACCCATAAGTCACATCTAGTTAAACTAGTAACTACTAATATATGCATCGCTTTAAACAGCATCGCTTTTGCAGCTTTTTTTTAAAAAACAGTTTTAGCCGAGAGACACTACAGCAGCCTCGATTTGGATGTTTCAACATGGAGTTTCACAGAACTGAAGCTATGTTTAGAGAACCAGGATGATGATAAGAACTATAAATAAAATCACACCACACAGCATTTAGTGTTTTTAGCTTAGTTTACCAAAAAGCCATGTTTTTGTCTTCTCTGTGACATCTGGTTTCTGCTGGTTTCCCCAACACTTAAACCAGTTAAGTAGATACTGAGCTCAATGTCAGAGCAAGTTTGAGAGGATCAACGGGTTTTGGTTTAGTAATGCGAAAACCAGAGCTTGATAAATACTTACATTATGATTAGCCTACATTTGAACATATGCACAGCTGGTGCAACCAGTCTCTGCACCTCTGATATCTCCACCCATTTTTTGTGTAATCTTCCTACATTTTGTGCGACCTTGAATGCATTTTGTGTATTTGTCACAAATCTGTGCGTTTAGGCTCATTAGTCACTTTGTACACCACATGTATTCTCTTTTGCAGACGTTGTGCCTGAAACTGGCCCATAAGGCTTAGAAAATGGGGCCCTCAGTCTTAGTGCCTTGTTCACTAACTCTCTGTGTCTCTCTCTCTGCAGTAAGGAGGTCAAGTGCTCTAATCATACCTATGCAGAGACACTTTATGTGGGATTGGGGTCTCTGAACCTGAGGGGTCAAAGTTCATGTTCTTCACCACTCAATACGGAGTGTCCCAATTACTGCCGAAGAGGGGTTTGCAGTCACCATGACAACTTGGCTCAAATTTGCAGGAGCGGTGGTACCACAGAATGAAGACATAACTGGGTTAGGAAACTATTCCATTAAACAGAATTGAGAATACAATATAGGTTGACCTGGAGATCAGGAAGGCTCATCTATGTTTAAATCACCATATTTCAGTAATACAATAAGAGAGGGAGCGTGTTATTGTGTATAATATCATAGCTGTTCCACAGAAAGATACAATTACAGTGAAAAAATGTGTTGTTATCAGATAACACTTTTCATCCAATCAGAATGTGCAGTTAGGACGAACTATTTCCATGGGCTACTCACTCTTTCAGTTTTATTTACAGTATTTATTTCTATGGTTTGTTTTACAGTGGGTAAAATCTTTACGGACACAAGAGTGTACGGTCTGTAAAAATTGCTGACATGATGTATTTGAACTGGACCAAAATCTCTACAGTGGTGGTCTTTGTAATAGTGTTTTTCTGTTTACATGCCTTGAAAAGCCAGTGCTTCCATTATTAAAGGATGTCATAAGACTTCAGTATAGGGGGACATTATAACATCTTTATAACTGCTTTTATAGCACTGTTATTAAGTCTTATGAAGCTGGTAGCTGGTCATTAACTTGCTGCTTCTTGTATTTTATTAAGCAATAATATGATGATCTATGGTAATTGGATTAGGAAGCAAACAATTATCAGTTACTGGTTTGATAAGTTAATTACCAGCTATTGGTTTGATCAGGCTTAATGAGGGCATAATAATGGACACATAAACTGTTTTAAATTATGTTGCTCTGAAATTGTTAATTCACCTTAGTTACTGCTTAATAAAGTAGTAATGAGCAGCTAGTCAATTAGTGTGCACTGGCTTGATACGGCTTAATAAGAGCAGAATAGAGCTCTCTAAAATGCTTAATTTACCCTAGTTAATTTAATAAAGTAGTTGGTAGTAGTTGCCAAATAAAGTATTATTTACTACAGGGTTGTTAAGGCTTTATAAGATCGTCAAAAGGGTTTTATAATGCCCCATTTACTAAAGTGCTACCAGGATGTCTTCAAATATTATGATTTTCAGACACTACCGCTAATTTATGGCTGGGTTTACTGTAAAAGGAGGAGAGTGTTTAACATAAAAAAGGTCATGGCTAGTTGCCCAAACTTTAGTAAAATAAATATGTAATGAGCTGCACGTGTGACACCTCCACATGTAAAACTAGTCCTGTCCAAATAGTGTTTAATACTAGTAAACGATGGCTATATCTCTTTAGGGCATAAAGTAAATGATTGGTATAAATCAAATTTACAAAATTTTTCCATTATCCCAAATGTAACAGATCAGTCAAGGTGACTTGATGTCTTAAGTTTGCTTGTACGGCTTTGCTCTGGAGCTACGAGGGTTATGTAGCTAACGAGTTATGAAAAAACTCGAACACATGTTAATTTGAGGCAAGTGCATGATGATTTCAGTAAAGTATATATGATGCTAATTGGTTTCTATAAGCTCCCATTGCTTGTTAGCTGTATTAGCCTCATAGCACCATCACAAAACTAGAAGAGCAAACTTCTGACACCAAACATGCCTCAACTACATTTGAAAAGAGGGGGGATATTATGCAAATGGGACTGCTTCACTATGCCTTTAACAGAAAAGTGGCATGTTTTTAATTAAACTTGATGGCTAATTTTACGCTTTTACTGAGCGCGCAGTGTGTTTACGGGTGTGTTACTGGAATATGCAAGGCATGTTATGAATTCACTGCCAGTGCCAGAATCACTGCGTTCTCTTTGAGCCTCCGTATCTGAAATCTCACACCACATCACTTGTTGAATATCAAGCCAGCGTGTGTGTGTGTGTGTCTATGAGTGTGTGTGTGTGTCTGTGTGTGAGTGATGGTATGCCACTGCACTCACACTACTTGTTGCATATCAAACCAGCAGAGCGGACAAAACTAATATTCTCTAAACAGAGCTAATCCTCAGAACACGCACCCCCCTCCCCAACACACATCTCAGTTGCCCTCATATCCATGCCAAAGTAAATTTGGTATTCACTCTACCTTCTACAATATTCAGCAGCTCAACCAGCTGAGAGACTGCTTTAATTTCTCCATCTCACATCCACACACACGAGCTCTCAAGCTTAATCAACAACATTTTATATCATAGCCAGGTACAGGAGACCACCGAGAAAAGTGGATGCATCACACTGTCGCTGCTAGAACATAACCTCGTATCTCTTTTTGTTTTTTTTTTTAATTATTTTTAACATAATTTGAAAATGCCACCCACTGTATACACTGTGTCAAGTTCATGACAAATGAACCAACAGAAATAATCCAGAATGACTTAGAATAAAATCTTGTCATATTAATTTACACTGAAAGTCAAACAAGTTTGTCTGGAGATACGAGGTTTTGTTCTGACAGTGACGATATGTCTAAAATACATATTTCCAGTAACTCACCATCCTCGCTTCTCCATTTAGGCTGTGCTGAGTGTGGTTTAGAGCTCAGTTCTCCATGTCTTCTAGGATGAGTCTCTGACTCTGTGGAGCAAACAAAGCCATCAGAATTCACTGGAGAACCACATGCATGTTGCACAATACATTCACAGTTTTGATACTGATATTGAAACAATGTATGGGTTAATACAGATACAGTATTTTTGTCCTTCAAAACACTATTAAGCTGTCAAATGATAGATTTGTTACTGGAATAAGTCAGATTTATTCATTTTTCCCTACAATATGTGATCCAGCATTATCTACTGATATCTGCCCAGTACCTACCATCTACCACACACACACCTCTCATCCTGTCCATGCTGGACCTCTCCATGCTCCACCCACAAATTCAGTCTTTTGTACCCACTGTTATGAGATTTGATAAACTTCACAAAACAATATTGAAAATTCTATACAACAATTCAAAAACTCAGAATTATCTTTTGATCACATTTTTTTGTTTGTTTGTTTATTCGTCAAAATATTTTCGTTCAGAGCGTGTTATTCATTTCAAATGTTGTTTCTGTATTTACACTGACAGTTTGGATGTAGATTGTTTTGTCATGGAATCTCAGCCTGACTTACAGTGAGCCTTAACTTCATGAATACTTTAAGTAGCTTACCATTTTTTTTACTAGGATCTAAAAAATTCAGTTGATGTCTCTGAGTCGCTAAACTTTATTGGTATAGCTTGACAGGACAACTCATATAAACATATCTTGCAAGTACTTTGCAAAGGTCATTTATTTAGTCAGACAACCATTAAGTACACGTTACCAATTTTTCAGCATGAGTTAAAAAAAAAAAACCAGAAAACTACACAGAAGCCTCAATAACTAAATATAATATTGTGTTTTTCAATATTTAGTGTTCACTCTGGTTGTTAGGAGCAACACGTTCTGTATTCTAAATCTATTGTTTCTCTAAATTTGACTTTTGCAAACTTCTGTTTTTTCACGTATTTTACTTTGACTTCCGTCTTCCTTCAAATGTCATCTATCCCCTCAGAAATATACAACATACAAAAAGTACAACTAGGAAAATGTTGCTGGCAATACTACTAAATGTTCAGCAATGCTACAATACCAGAGGTGCAGGCTATGACATTAACTCAGCTAGTTAACATCATCAACTGAAGCCAGTCAATTTTCGGCCTACTCTATAAATCTGATGTTCAACCCTAAAAACATATACGGTACAACAACAACAACAACAACAACAACAAAAATCTACACATTATATGTCCTAATAGTACAATGTTTCTGCTAATACAAATTAAAAATTAATATAAAAATTAATAACACACCTAAAATGTAATAAAATTAGGTTGAAAGGGATTTTTACCAATGTTCTGTATAAAATATGTATAACTCAGTAGCTCCAAAAGTACATGGAGTATAGACAGGTCAACTGAGTCAGAAAAGCTTGAAAATTCAAAGGGGGGAGGATAGAGAGAGAAAGAGAGAAAGAGAGCCAGAGAGAGAGAGAGAGAGAGAGAGAGAGAGAGAGAGAGAGAGAGAGAGAGAGAGAGAGAGAGAGAGAGGTCATTTATGACAATGATATATGAATAATGTATGCTAATTTAATCTCTTAATTCGTTCATCTTATGATGCCAAGAGCTTTTTATTTCTCAAACACACACACACTTACACACACATATACACACACACACACACACACATACACACACACACACCCACACACACATATACACACACATTGTTTGGTGTCAGTAGTGAGTGAGACAGAGCTACAGCAGTATGTGTGACTACAGCAGGCACAGCGGAGCGGATGTTTTACTGCTGCATGTGAGCATCTGAGCCAGTTAGCACTTCTCTTCTTTACACCACCGAAGCTGGCTTTTATTTTCACACACACACTCTCTCTCTCTCTCCCTCTCACCCCTTCACACACTGTCCCTCACATTAATCCAATCCATACTGCACTCTCTCACAGCCCCTCTACACAGCCATAACTTCTTTCTGTTCTGTTTTCACAGATTTTCTGTCTGTCCACCTCCACCTACTGCTTTCTTTCTCTCAAATATTCATCAGCTGTACCCACTCTTTCTCTGCCTCCCTCATTCTCTTTCTCTGTCCTCTCTCATTTCTCTCTCGCTCTCTGTCTCTCTCTCTTTCTCATACACATACACATTCTCTTTCAGTGCTGCTAGGCTGAGAGCCAGATGCTGTCCACTGCCAAACAAACCACTGAAGAATACATAAAACAAATAAATAAACATAAACAGCAAAAACCTAAACTGATTTCGCCAGCATTCATTCACTCTGATCTCCCCTGAGGGGGAGTGGTCCATGTGTGTGTGAGTGTGAGACAGAACTGTCCCACTAGTGAAGAGACCATCCAAAACAATCAACATTTACTGACTATGATTGTACATCTCTCTCCCTTTCTCTCTCTCTTTCTCTAATGTGAGTAGTAGCTGTTCTGGATTGATTCTGGTTAATTTCAGTTGCACACTGTCTGTTTTTCGAGTGTCTCTCTTGCAAATTGATAGCACCGCGCAAAGAAAATCAATTTAACCCCAACACACACACAATCACACACACTTCTCATACTACATTTAAATAGAATTAGCAGACACAATGTGAGGCATTCTCTCTCTCACACGCACACACACACACACACACACACACACACTCACACACACACACTCCAGATCCTGCAGGTTAGTCAGTTTTAAGTGCTTTCTTGGAGGCTGTAAGATTCTGTGTTTGTACTGTAAAGAGTCAAATCACCCGTCAAACCATTCATAGTAATCCAGCCTGAAGCCCATCTGCTCATGTGGTACATGTTGCTATGATATAATCATTTTGAACGGCTTTTAAAACCTTCAGCACCTTCAAAACCAGCACAACTTTCTGCACTCTCAACAGACCGTAACAAGAATCCATGAGCTGTACGAACGAGAGAGGCTGCAGGCACTGAGGAGTTGAACCATTGACTGTATGTATAATGTATAGATGATAAATACACCCACTGGCTGGAGTATGCAGCCACTGTTTTTCTCACTGTGGGTGGTAAAAATAGGAAACTGCATTCACTCCATGGAAATCATTATTTTCATGTTCGGGAAAACCACTATAGTCATCACACGTCAGACTCTAAGACAGGCCCAGGTCTACAGCAGTGCAGTAGAATGCACTGCACTCTCAGTTTGATTTTCTGCACTCACAGTCGAGCTTTGGACAAAATGAAGTGAAGCACCCTATAGTCATGGGATGAAGACTATAATTAGGGTAGCTATAATTAACATAGCACAAATGCATCTGAAATGCCTCAAACCTTTGTGATATCTCTGCAAAGAGAGTTTGTTAATTATTATGATGTGTGACTAGTAAACACATGACTGGCTAAAAGCCAAATGTTTTCTATTCTTTACCTCTTCGTGGAAATATTCACAAGCAGAATAATGTGAAATTTGTATTTTATGTATGTGTGCTTTATGCCATTTCTGTTCAATTTTACCAGTGATTTCAAATCTGTTTTTGAAACGGTCTCTGCTCTCAAAAATCAACAGGAGCCTAACTGCCCATTAATGTTAAGCTCTAGTCATTCTCCATTTGGAGTGGAAAACCATGTCACAAAGGTTTCAGTGCTTAAAAGGATGCTTAAAATGTTAGGCACGGCTCCAAAAGTTGGTATGTACATTTACACAGTTGACCTAAGATCAATAAATACTTTTTTCCTCGTGATTTCTCTGATTTTTCTTTTTTTATCCTGTTTCATAGTTGCTCTGCATAAGTAAAACAGTTCGTCACATAACCAATTTTCAACATTTGAGAAACTATTTTTAACATAAAAGAATATTTCTGCTTTAGAGGTTTAGCTTAGGAATATGTATAAAACAAATGTATGTTTAATTTTATATCATTAAGGTTCTTCTACATTTAAAAATATGTATTTCATTTCCTTGGGTCAAGGCTCATCAGAAATGAAGCATCTCAAGGCATGAGAAGGTGACTCCACACTGCTCACTATATTTCAATTATTTAATAATAATTTTGTTTATCAAGCAGCACGTAACTTCTATATATCACTGGTGTTATGTGTTTTAATGTCTGGGTAATCAAAATTTTATAAACTGACCCCCAATGAGTCAGCCAATTTACGAAATCCTCAGTTTTAACCAGAATGTCACTGGTCTCACAGTCACTGGTGTTACACCATATTCATATAACACCAGCGACATGGGAAATATGTTTGGAATTAAGCTCTTCTTTTTGCAAATGTGATAATAGGAGATGTTAATGGATATATTAAGATTATTTAGTTTTGGGATGAAAGAAACTGATTTTTTGAAAATGTATCCATCTGAATTCCCACTCCAAATGGAGAATGACCCAGCTGTCAAACAGACCAGCAAACCTTTCTAGCAAGCCTTTATATAAACTGAACATAACCAAGCACTTGAGCCATCACGCTAAACAGAACTAACCACATCAGCCTCACCTCCAGCCCTCTAACTGGTATTTGTCTCTCAGTGTTGTAATCAAGACCACTGGAGGCAGGTCTGAGTCCAAGACACATTGAGTCCAAGTCAAGACCAAAACTTTGTTCTCTGTTCTGTTCTCTGAACCTTCTTCTCTAAGAAGTCACCACCTCAAGTCAATTGAATGTAAAGCAAATAACATACATCCATTTTTATTATTAAAGAGGACATGATGAGTGGTGTGGCCGTGCACTGGAGGAAGAGAACATGTTTCTGTCAGCTCCTCACTAAATGAAGTTGTAATGTCTTTATATAAGCAGCCATTCAGCCAATAAAATTTGGTAAAACGACACATCAGTAAACAATGTTTCTCGACATCTACTTTTGCCCGAATACGCTCTTTCAAAATCAGCCAAAACTGCCAAGGAAAAGGTGGAGACACAAGGAAGAAGACCAAGATGGCGACCTTGCTGCAAGTGATAACTGCACCATGCCAGAGGCTAAGACTATTATTAGCAAGGTTACTGCAAATATAACAGGAGTTCTGGATGCTGCAAAATTACAGAAGTTCCAGAAATCTCGGGCATGATGA